CCCGCTGGTGTCTCTTCTCCTGGCTTTTAAGGCCAGCGGGAACGAGCTCCAGGTGCGCCACTCATCGCGCACAGGTGTTGTGCGTCGGTGATCAGTGTGGCAGCGGCGTTTCCAGGGCGACGCTACTCTGGACTCGGGATACTCGCCACACTAATGTTGTATAAAGCAAATCTGCAGGACCGGGCAGTTTTAGCAATGTGGTCTGAGAAATTCAGCTTATCATCAATCACAACTCCAAGTTGTGGTTACTGTTAGGTCAATAGGCAGCGGTCTTTTGTGGCTGTTGAACACATTCGACCACATGAGCATCTAATGAGCATCTATGAGCATCTTTTGACTGCTTCTGGTGGTCAATAATGATCAAAACATTTTAGATCCCGTTTACAATTGTATTTAGTGTTGTTCACTTGTGATTGGATTGGCAAAACAGTATTTTTATACCAGGTGTAAAGAGGGCCTATAAATTATTTAGTGCTACTTACTCCTGGTTCAAATAGTAACTCCATAAATAAAAAAAAATGTTTTTTTCTTTCTTTCAGCCCCAGAACAGTCTGCCAGATATAATAATCTGGATGCTTCAGGGAGACAGACGAGTGGCCTACCACAGAATCCCTGCCCATCAAGTTCTCTTTTCCCACGGTTACTGTGGAAAGCACTGTGGTCAACTTCAGACGGTTTTCATGAAGGTAAACACAGGCAAAGCACATACTAATGCTACAGTACAAATGATGAATGGAAACGTAGGGGCGCTGATAAATCTCTCTATCTCTGTGTGTAATTTGTGCTCAGTATCCTCAAGAAGACGGGGGATATAGTAAGATCCCAGCTCAGCTCAGGGTCAAGGTGTGGTTCGGACTGACTGCTGATGTCAAATCCTTTAACCAGTTTGCCGAGGGCAAACTCTCTGTGTTTGCAGAAACGGTGAGTGGGCAGCTACCCACATGCAACTTTAACAAATTAATTCAATATTATATATTTTTTTTTCTTCACCTACGGGCACTTTTGCCCTGTGGACCTTTGCTAAATAACATCTCTTAAAAGTAAATTTCACACAATCATAATATCACAGTTTCCACAAAAATATTAAGCAGCAGAACTATTTACAACATTGATAATAGTAAGAAATGTTTTTTAAGCAACAAATCAGCATATTGTAATAATTTCCCAAGGATCACGTGACATTGATGATGCCTTCTAAATTACATTTTAAAACATAAAAACAGAAAACAGGTATTTTAAATTGTAATAATATTACTATTTCACTGTATTTTCAAATCAATGCAGCCTTGGTGAGCCTAATATACTTTTTTCAAATTCCTACTGGGATTTATTTTGATCTACAGTATGAAAACCAGACTAAATTGGCTCTGGTGGGGAACTGGGGTACGACGGGTTTGACATACCCCAAGTTCAGTGACGTGACTGGCAGAATCAAACTCCCAAAGGAGAGCTTCAAACCCACTCCAGGATGGAGCTGGGCGGGAGACTGGTACGTCAGCCCAGAGAAAACGTGAGTACCGTCTTATCATTATCTGTGATATCAGCACCATTAAACACCCTTTGAATCTGCATAACATGGATTTGTATTTATGCCCATGATGGCCAGATTGCTGTATGACACTGATGCTGGTCATATAAGCTTTTTGGAAGAGGTGTTTGAAAATCAGATGCGTTTGCCAGGAGGACAGTGGATTGGCATGCCAGAGGGGTTCACAGATGTGGTCAGTGTGTGGTTGTATCATAACAAAACTGTACCTTTAGTTCATAGTGTTATTCGTGAGCCGCAGAGGAGTATTAAAGGGATAGTTTACCCAAAAATTAAAATTTGATGTTTATCTGCTTAACCCCAGGGCATCCAAGATGTAGGTGACTTTGTAGAACTTCAGTAGTTCTACTACAGGTTCTTCAGTAGAACACAAACAAAGATTTTTAACTCAAACCATTGCAGTTTGTCAGTCTTATAATGGAAGTGAATGGGAATCACGGCATCGCAGACTTATAAGTGCATTACCGCCACCTATCTCTCAAATGGACCATTGACACTCCTAATTGAGATTGCAGATAGAGTGTCAATGGTCCATTTGAGAGATAGGTGGCGGTAATGCGCATATAAGTATGTGATCCGCCATAAAGCAAGAAGAAGAAGAAGACGTGTCACACGCCGGCTGTCGAGAATGCGCTCAGGACAGTTCAGACAGTTCAGACATTGCAGTGCATCAGAGGTAAAAAACGATATAAATACTGTTCAGTTTCTTGCACAGACCGATCGTTTCGTGTCTTTACACATCAATGTATCGCCACGAGCCGCAGGGTTTAATTTGGTTTTGTTTGTGTATGTTTTTTTTGACTCTCAAAGCCGTGATTCCCATTCACTTCCATTATAAGACTGACAGACTGCAACGGTTTGAGTTAAAAATCTTTGTTTGTGTTCTACTGAAGAAACAAAATCACCTACATCTTGCCCTGGGGGTAAGCAGATAAAAATCTAATTTTCCTTTTTGGGTGAACTATCCCTTTAAGTCAAAGGGTATTTCAAAAATACTTTAAAAAGTGGACTAATATGTTCTACATTAAAATCAGTTGGCAGGAACTGACCTTTTTGTTCTTTATGTGTCCACTGGGGGGCAGAATGGAGAAAAAGCCGTGCCTAAAGAGGAGATTGAGTGTCCCCCCGGCTGGGTGTGGGAGGATATTGAGTGGAGCGAGGACCTGAAGCGTGCAGTGGATGATCAAGGTTTGGAAACTTTGAGAAGTCTTTCCTGCACACACATGCACCACTGACTTATGAGCTTCGTTATTTTGAATATATTGTGCCTTTACAATAAATCCTTTTCTACCTGTAGGGTGGGAATATGGAATAACCCTCCCCCCAGACCGCCGGCCAAAGTCCTGGGTTCCATCCGAGAAGATGTACCACACCAACCGCCGGAGACATTGGATCCGACTCCGCCGTAGAGATATGCAGAAAATGGAGGCACTCAGAAAAGTACATCATCAGTCATTAGCCAAGTGTTTGTTTTCAGTCAGAGAAATAACAAAGTTTCAGATTGAGAGCGATAAACAAAAGAAGAATCTTGGCTTCGTTTTCTCTTTGAATGGTGGGGGATTCTGGTAAAGCTCAGGATGGCGTGACATAAAGAGCTCTGTGTAGTCTCAGGAGGTCTTCCCCGTCCCTGAACGCATCTGGTGAGAGGCAGATGGAGCTTGAGAGAACACCTAATTAATCATGCCATCTGAGAATAATCTGAACTCAATCCCACACCTCTAATCCACTTGGCAGGAAAACCTGGGTCCAACTATAAAGTCCTGCCGCAAATATGCCTAATGTTCATAATCTGTGTGAGGGTGTGTAACAGAGAGAGAGAGAGAGAGAGAGAGAGAGAGAGAGAGATAAAGAGTTTTTGTTTCATTCTGTGAAAGTCTTTATCCAATAAGCAAAAAAACACTTTGTTAATAAACATCTAAAAATCAATTTTTGAGATCACTGTTAGACTGAAGAACATTAACATATTAGCTTTCTGGAGTCAGAGAGAATGGCATTGGGCCTCATTCATGAAACACGGGCGGAAGAAATTTTGTGTTAAAGGGGTCATATGATGCTTTTTTAAAGATCATGGCTGCTTCAACACTAACTGCGGTTACTGAAACCACGCCTTATTTCTTTGCATGCACATTTGGGCGGCATTATGCAAATATTTCCACATAGTGAGGTAGATATGTGGGGCCGTGTTAGAACGAGCCGTTTTAGGGGGGCGTGGTCTTAACTTTGATAAAGTATATCTCTTTGGTTTTGAGACTTTAGTCTTTGCAACTTCAGGGATCTTATCTATGCACAATCAGCTTGTAACACTCCAAAGAGAAAGGAAAACTTGAAATCGCATCATATGACCCCTTTAAACCATTCGTAAATCCATTCTTACATGAAATGTCACTTTCAATTCAATGAGACAGTTTACATAAGAATGGGTTTACGAATGATTTACACATAAATTTGTTGCATGAATGAGGCTCAGTGTGTTTATATTTGGTTCTGTGCAAGAAACAAGTAGGACTACTAAAAGTGAGTAAAGAACTAAGAGGAAAAAATGTGTGAGAGAGTGGTTTGGGTACAAAAGGTGGTTTAGATTATATTATTTACTTATTAAAAATGAAGTATTTGGACAACCAAATAATGGATAAAAATATATTAATACACTACTATTCAAAGTGTGGCATCAGTAAGATTTTTCAATCTTTTTAATAAAACAGTAATGTTGTGAAATATTATTACAATTTAAAATAACTGTATTCTTTTTGAAATATATTTAAAAATGTATTCCTGTAATGGCAAAGGTCACATGATCCTTCAGAAATCATTCCAATATCTGTTGCTCAAGAAACATCTCTTGTTGAGATTGTAAATATCTTTACTATCAATTTTAATCAATATAATGTACCCTTGCTTAACAGAAAAAAGTACTGACCCTACATTTTTAAACAGTAGTGAACATTGTTTATGCAGTGAAATCATTATTAAACCAAATGACAAGGATGCTAGACATTTTCCCAGAATGCTGCAATTTTGACTCGTGTTCACATTAACATTGGGTAACATTTTAGGCAGTTTTGTCCTAATTTCAAGCATCTATCAATCTATCATTTTATAATTTAATAACTTTTTTTGTAGAATGTTTTGCTTGAAAAGAGTAGTTAAAAAATATATAATAGCAATAATTAGACAACTTAGATATTTGATTAATGCAGTATCATACAGTATATTTTTAAGTGTCTGTATAATTTTTAGGGTCACTGTGAGTTAAATCAGTTGTCCTCATGGTGGCACTCTTCAAGCACAGATTTAAAAACATTTGTCTAGACGTACCTCCCGTCTTTCTACTCTATTAGATAACTCTAATTCCTCACTACCCTAAAGATCCTGATGTCTGCTATTTGTCCTTTTTTATTTTTATTGCACTGTGCACCGCTGGTTAGGATCATACAGAACACACATAATGAAATAATACCTTAATATAATCCAGTTCAATTATATACATTTGTCTTTTTCTGTGTGTGCTCACTCTTCTACAGCAGCGTCCGGACGAGTCGGAGCGTGAGGGCTGGGAATATTCCTCTTTATTCGGCTGGAAGTTTCACCTTAAGCAGAGGAAAACTGACTCCTTCCGTCGCCGGCGCTGGAGATGCCGTATGGAGCCGTTAGAAAAGATGGGGCCGGCGGCCATCTTTTCCTTGGAGTGTTCGCTGGTAATGAGGGTTGACTATTTGAGTGATGTAGAGCTGGAATTGGGTTGAAGTTCAGAAAGAGGGACAGTAATGGAAGAAAAGGAGAGTGGTCGGGGAGAATCAAACGAGGGTGAGATGCATTTTAGACAAGGCAAAGGCGAGAATGGGTGTGGAGGGCTTTGAGCTTGGACGAAACGGAGGTGCTGAGAGAGACTGGGCAAGCAAAGTGGAATCAGCCTGGTAAAATAAGGGCATCATGGGATATCATTTACAGGGAGACAGAGATGGACCAGTGAGTGTGAAAGATGGTGTATGCATAAAGCCTAGTTAGTATGCTTATTCTTTTACTCATAGTCTGGTCCGCTGGGTCCATTGTTACGGATCTATTCCAGGCAGTTTGGCATGAGATATCGTGTAGGCTTGGCTGGCTTGAAAACTCAGAGTTGACGAGGGTCTGGAATGAATCCATGATGCAAGTGAAAGGCCCCAGTGCCTTGCAAAGGTGAACCTGAAAACTCTGACCCAGAGACATCAATTATAAGCTTCAAATAGTTAATTTACTCATTTTCAGTTATTCCCATATGATGTTGAGTGTTTTAACCTTTTTTTTTTTTAAATCATGCTCTTCCTGTAGCTCCCCTGCTAGATTATAACTGAATGAACTGATTAATTGGAATAACTTTCCAAAGCTACTGTATGAGAGAGAGAGAGCGCGAGAGAGAGTAGTTTGGGACAAACTGATTGACCCAGAATCGGACTAGAATGAATCAGACCTTTCAATGTTGCATATGAGAGAGTTGTTTAGGACCAACCAATTCACTTGAATGAATCAGACTTTTCACTGCTTAATATAAGAGAGAGCTGTTTAGCTTGAATTGTTTAGCTAAAATGAATCAGACTTTCCAATGCTACACATGAGAGATAGAGTGCAGTTTAAGACAAATGATTCGCTAAAATTAATCAGCAAATCTACATATGAAGGAGGGACATTTATAATGAATTGATTCACTAGAATGAATCAGACTTTCCAATGCTACACCTGAGAGATAGAGTGCGGTTAAGGACAAATTATTCACTAAAATTAATCTGCAAATCTACATATGAAGGAGGGCCATTTATAGTGAATTGATTCATTAGAATGAATCAGACTTTTCACAGCTATATATGAGCAGTTTAAGATGAACCTATTCAATAGAAAGACTTTTCAGACATTACACTGCTTAATACAAGAGAGAACTCTTTAGCATGAATTGTTTCATTAAAATGAATCAGACTTTCCAATGCTACATATGAGCGATAGAGTGCAGTTTAAGACAAATGATTCACTAAAATTAATCAGATTTTGCAAATCTACATAGGAGGGAGAGCCATTTAGAATGAATTGATTCACTAGAATGAATCAGACTTTTCACTGCTACATATGAGATAGCGAGCAGTTTAAGACAAACCGATTCAATAGAAAAAATCTGACTTTCCACCTCTACCTATGAGAGAGAGCATTTAGGATTAGTCGATTCACTAGGATGAATTAGATTTCCACTGCTATATATGAGATAGAGAGTGAACCAATTCACCAAAATAAGTCAGACTTTTCACTGCTACATAGGAGAGATCAAAAAGCAGACTTTATTATACCTCAGTTTGCTTGGTGCTATAAGCTGCGTGCGCAAATAATGTGACATTTAAAATAGCGATTCAGCCTTTGGTAGCACTACACCGCTACTCATTGGAATTACATTTCAAATTCTGTTCTTGTTTCAGAGGGCACTTTGGAGGGTGTTTTTCTTTTCTTTTTTTCTTCAAAACCATACAGTACAAGGGTATTGGGTTATGTAAATAAAGTGAGCCACAAATGACATAACAGTTTCACTCTGGTTAAGAGACATAATCAGGCATTTTATTCAGAGAAGGTCAGAATTTTGTATGTGTCAAAATGATATTCGAGTGTCTTGGGGCGGTGACATGTAATCACTTCATGCCAGTGGTTTGTGGTGCATGTACAGTTGCCCTTTCCACAACTGACAGCAGAGTCATCATTAACACATACTCTGTTTATCCTTTTGGTCGGAATATTGTGATATCTGATCCAACATGAATGTCCCATCTTTTCCCATCTCCAAATGTGTGAGTCTACTGTTTAGGTTGAAGGAGCATAATGTGTCTCACAGTGTTTTTCCTTTTTTGTCAACAGAGCAGTGTTACTGATGAAAAGAATGACGATAAGTCAGTTACAACAACCTTTGGTGTCAACCGCCCGACAATCTCCTGCTTCTTCGATAGTGAGTCAAACATGCCAGTTTTCTCACTTCATTTAAAATAATGACAGATTTAAATGATGGCTGAAACTACACTGATGTTCATCCTCTTGATTCTTTAGATGGGACCCTGTATCATTTGCGATGTTATTTGTATCAGGCCAGAGACCTGCTGGCAATGGATAAGGACAGTTTCTCAGGTGAGCATATACCACCTTCACTGTGAGCCAAACTTAATTATTACAGATATATGAAGGGTTGTGTATAGTTCAAAATTGAATGAAGAATTCTTTTTTTTTTAATGCAATCCAATGAAATATATTTTACATTTTTAAATGTTATTTTATTGTTACTATTATTTTATATATATGAATACACCAATTAAACGTTAGGGATCTGTCCGATTTTTTATGCTTTTGAAATGCTCACCAAAGCTGCATTTATTTGTATAAGAAATACATTTAAAAACAGTAATATTGTTAACTTTTAATGTTCAGATGTTTTGTATTTTAATATATTTTAAAATGTAATTATAACAACCTCAAACTGTTAAAGGGTAGTGTATATTTTAGCTTTTTGCTAAAAAAATTAAATACAAAAGGAGATATTAAGAAATTAAACTGAAGCCATTTTTTCAATTCTGAATTTTGATCAACCCAGATGTAAATCAGATTTTCCAAGGTCAAAACCTAAAAAATAAACAAAAGCAGTGTAGGCTACTCAGTTTTGTTGCTTAAAATCTGATCAAAGCTATGCATAGTACCAAGAAATATATGCACCAGTCATTTATTTTGTAAAGCAGCTGCATTTATTTTGCCAGAATCTACATGTCTTGATCTTGTGGTTATTTGCATAGGATCTGAGTAACATACCCTTTTGAACACAGTACTAGCACACATTCAGACACACAGCAGGCATCGGCAAAATCAGCTTTTTAAGACATTTACTACGATACCACATGGCATGAAGTGTGCTCTTATTTTGCCATACAATAAGTTACATATTTCCAGGTCGTGTGGTGACACAAATTGAGGTCAATGGATAGTCCTAATGTGAAGCATATTGAGAGCGATAGCGTACACGACAGAATTACGATTTTACGAATTTATCTCTAAAAAAATGGTCAGTATTGCCTAGAATAATGGGAGCATTTTATAAATAACAAAATCATAAAAGTGAGGTTTTGAGATGTAATGGTAGAGGAACCGTAACTGAGCTTACGTCAGAGGGGGTGAAATATTGTGCCTGGCACAGACTAGCCCGAGGCAGTTCGGGTCAAGTGTAGCCCAGAGAGAAACGAAATGAAGTAGATTTACAATGGTGTCCATGAGAGAAGATGTTGGCAGCGAAGATGTAAAAAATGTCATTTGCATAGAGAAGAGAAGGTACATAGAGTAAAACAAATCAAGTCGGAGCCATGGTCTAGTGGTTAATTCATGAGCTCTGATGCCGGTGCACTCATGGGCGAGGCAAGTTTGAATCTAGCTTGCAACATATTCCATTACCCTGCTCTCTCTCCCTGACTTTCTGAACTTTAAAAAGCGAAAAGCCCTGAAAAAGGCTAATCAAAATGAGACATTATATGCTGAATTTGTTGCTGTACTCTGCCGTTTTTCTTTTTGATTTACTGGCACTAGTTCCTTTTTTGCTTCCATGACTTGTGTCCTTGGAAAGTATCAAAACAAGAGCACATAAAGCATGTGCACTGTGTGTATTTTTAATTCTAGATGCACATGTGACGTTTTGTCGGGTCAAAGGATGGGATTTAACTGTGGGATTGATGTTAGAGCAGAAGATGCTGATGTAAACTGTCTAAACACACACATCAGGTGAAACCTCTGGTTTTACAGTTGTTGCTAGTAGCAAAAGTTCTTCTGTATTCTTCATAATCATGTGTTATTTCTGTTTATTGGCTATAAAAGTAAAAAAAAAATGCTTACTCTAACTCTTTAAGACAAAAATATTTTAAAACACCCCACCCATCGTGTCCAGATAATGTTTTTTTAAACATTCTCTTTATTAGGTTTTCTACATTGACACAAAAATTCCAATACAATTTTTTACATATGCAAATTATATTTTAACAATGAATTTTAACATAGTAATGATATATGGGAAAAGAAAGAAAGAAAGAAAGAAAGACGGATAATGTTTTATTGTATAGTTGTGTAATGAATATTGTGGAATTGTTGCCCCAAATGGAATCTGGGCCCACAGAATTCTACAGAAAGCTTCGCAGATCCACACAATTTGTAATTTCCAAAGTTTTACACCACCTTGCCATTTGTGTGTTTACTGTTTTTTTCTTTTTAGAATTATAATTTGAAAGAGTTATTCATAAATGGATTTCAGTGCTCTCGGCTCTGTTTAAGCCATTTTACCATATTTAAATCCATTCCACAGAATTCCCCTCATAAATGTGCAGATTCCGTGTGGGCCTTGTTATTACCTTATATTACCTATTAATAAACATGAAGTGAGTTTTCATTCAAAATGTGACACTGATTATTGATGTTGGCAAAAAAACAGTCACTTAAAAAGTCAAATATAGAAGAGCTTTTTTGGCAACGCTGGAGCAGTATTTCACCCCCTTTAAACCATAGCGAGTCTGTTGCCATGGTCTAAAGCTCTAAGTTGTGGTAGTGAAATTTTTTTTAACCCAGAGTGCTCCACATCATTAAAATGCAGGCAAAATACGCCCGCTGGTTATCACCCATTAGAAATGTCTGGTATAAATCTCCTATGCATGGAAAAACCATAGTCTAAAAATGGAAACAAAGCAGACAAGGATGAAAACGAAGAAAAAAAAAGGACATTAAGGTGGAGAAAGATCTGAAGTATATTGTTTTTTGTTTTTTGCAAAATCTTGGAAATGTAGCTACCCGGGCTATGCATTTAAGGTTCATTCTGAACCCGCAAGCACAGATGAGAAAACATTGAGGATCCTTTTAAAAATACAGGCCTGGTATAAATCAGGCCAGTCTGGCGCTCTGATTACAAATCTACAAATAGTTTTGGGTCGGTCTCCTGATGCACAAAACCCAGCCTAGATCTTTTACAGGGTTCTGAGCTCCGAGGAAAATGAATAAATCAAGCTGGAGGCAGAAATCACTTGTCCTTGGTGCGCTTGAGACGGAGTTTGGTAAAGGGAAATGATCGATGGACCGCAATATTTATAAAGGAGGGAAAAATGTAGAGCTGCATCAGTGCTTTGGCTACTGGAGGGGGATTAGAGGAAGTCAGAAGTTTGAGCCAGATGCTACATGGCTGTAGGCCCCTCTGTGCTAAAGTCAGATCTATCTATCTATCTATCTATCTATCTATCTATCTGTCTATGTGTCTATCTGTCTGTCTGTCTGTCTGTCTGTCTGTCGTCAGTCACTCAGTCTATCATCTCTCTGTCTTTCTGTCATTCACTGGACATTTCGAATATGCGCATTTGAATATGATTTTTGAACAGTTATACCCTTCATAGTATTGATATATGGGAAATGATCCATAGCCAAATTTCTTGGTTGCCTTTCCTTGTTTACTTTGAGCATGTCATTGTTCCCGAGGGTCATGCATCATGTTTGAGTCGCACACGTGGGCAGCCGTCGACATGTCCAGTCCCACAATGCCCTTGGGGAAGACAGTTTATTTACTGTTCACTGTAAGCAGCCAGATTAGACACTGCCTGTGTTTATTTCCCATTGGCTCCTGGGTAACAGTGCACGCTCCCCATAGCTTGTTTATCCCTTTGTTTATTTGAGCCACTGTGTTTGTGGGAAGTAGGAAGTTGTGTGTGTGTGTGTGTGTGTGTGTAAGTAAGCTAGTTTAATAAGAGCTGGGAAAAGTGTCTGTTTCTCCCTCCCAAGTGAAACTATCCCTCTGAGGCTGCTTTATGTCGACTGAAATAATAAACTTTGACTGTCGCTCCAATTTCTGGCATTCCTAAGCAGTTGATGTCACTTTCTTATTTTTCAGCACCTTAAGTGCATGTTTTTTTAAATGTTTGGATGTTGTGTCTTTTAAAGGAATAGTTTACCAAAAATAAAAAGTCTGCCATTATTTACTCTTAAAATCTCATATGCTGTTATTACTTGCAGAGACATTTGGAAGAATGTACACATTCCAATTTTCAGTGACAGTTAATATTTCTAAAAAGGACAAAAACATAATCTGAATTACTTGTTCCTAGTGTTCTGAAGTCATATTAAAACTTTTGTTCAAATTCACGTTTTGAATGTGAGTTTGTGCTTGCATTCAAATTTGGCTTCTTTAGATAGTCACGAAAAAGTTTAATTTAAGAGCTACAATAACATCTTAAATTTCAGTCTATACCTCACACAATTGTGGTGTATGACTTGGAATGCAGCACCTGAGTCATATGGACAACTTTTATGATGGTTAAATGGTGTTAAATGGCATCAGCTTAAATCAACTTTTATAATTTTATAGAAGAGAAGCACGCACATTCTTTATATGTTTTTCTATTTTATTACGTCCAGATTTGGAATGGCAATGACAGAATTTTCATTTTTGGGTGAACTATCTCTTTAAAACCCTCACTTAAATACATAAACACTCACACATGCACATGCATTGGCTAACTCACTCATCTTTTCCCCCATTTCTCTGTCTCGCAACCACACATCATCTTTCAGACATTACATAGACCTACTAAAGTTAAAAAAAATGCTCTCACCCTCCCTACGCCATAACTCAGGGTATCTCTGGTTCTTTTCACTTCCATTATTGATGTTATATTCTTGGCAAATTCACCCTCATTACAGAACCAAATAAAAACAGAAATGCTTGTGTTTATTGTGTTTACTGATGCATTGAACGTCTTGTTCTGAGGAGAATGTACCAAATCACTTGATGGCAAACAGACTTCAGTGAGTTGATGACTGCACATCTTTCCTAACTCTTGATGCAGTTCTTTCCATTTCATTTATCCATCTATGTGGCAATAACCTCCATTTGACCTGACGAAGCCTTTCTCGTTTCAGTTGACAGTTTAGATCTCGTTTTTGACAGTATACAAATGCACATTACACATGCTATTCCCCTTGATGTGTACTTGCAACTCTTGCCATACTTCATCACTTATTCTGACGTGAAAATGTGATGCAGTTCATTGATCTTTGACTCTTTGACTCTTTGATTAGATCCCTATGCCATCGTGTCCTTCCTGCATCAGAGCCAGAAGACGGTGACTGTTCGGAACACGCTCAATCCCACCTGGGACCAGACTCTCATCTTTTATGAAGTTGAAATATTTGGAGACCATCTTGTGACTGAGAGGAACCCTCCGCACATTGTGGTGGAACTATACGATCAGGACACCTATGTGAGTTTTCATTGTGTTGGTATGTGTTATTTTATAAATGGGTGTGTTTATTGTCAGATTAATTAGACTTTCGACCAGCGAAATGAAGTCTTGCCCAATTTACAGTTTGATCAGGTCAAGAACCACTAATTTTGTCAGGCAGAATTATCTTACCAATATCAAAGTCAGTTCTCTCAGTCTTATTCATAACACCATGCAAGTACAGTTCATATCTATTTGAATGAGGAAAGACTGAAGTCTGTGTAATTGTTTGACAAAATGATGTTTAAGTAACTTATTTAAAATTAAACGATTAAAGTCAGACACAACGGTGGTATTATATATTGCACTTCTTAAACCAGTGTTGTTATTGTTAACTAAAATGATTAGTTATTAGTTTTCATTAATTGAAATAAGGCAAAAATAAAATAAAATATAGAAAACTTGAAAAACATAAAAAACTTAGAAACGAGAAATGTTGCCTTGGCAACAAACTGAAATAAAATGTTTAAAATCAAGCGTAGTATTAGTTCTGGCAGGTGACGTTAGTCAAGCTTGCATCAGTTGACTAGCTGATCCACGTCTACCTATAGGGATGAGACCCCTATCACAGCACCCATATTTAAGATCCTTCAGTATTATCACCAGCTTTCGCGTTGCTCAATAGCTAATTACCCTCCTCCATCCCCAACTCCACCTCTCGACAGTCAGGATTCGGCCTTCTGATTCTCCTTTGAATCAGACTAATTTCTAAAATGTTACATGAAATGATTGAACTTTTATGATATCTGCAATACATTTATGTTGGTTCTGTTCTGTTTACCCTGCTAGGCGGCATGGATGCGCAGGGAGTTCTTGCCCAGAACAGAACCATACCGCCAATCCAAACTGTATGCTAATTGTCAGTCATCTTTGACGATAGTGGTCCTGCCAGAACTAAAGTACTAACATTACGGAAACTAGAACTGATTTAAAAAATAATGCTAAATATTAATATTAAAAACAAAACCAAAACCGTAGAACAAATTACTAAAACATAAACTAAAATGAAAACTAAAAACTTATAAATAAATAAATTAATTAAATTGTAAATACTACTAAAATAATCCTGTCTTAAAATAAAATCACTGAAAAAAAGGCTGGTCCAGCTATCTTGCTTTTTGCATTAATTAAACACAGGTTTTATGTATAGGCAAGGCTACAAACAATATATTAGGCATTATGACTACTTATTTTGGTTTGTATGTGCCATTTAAGTACAGGTTAATTTTAAAATTCCTGGCGCCACAGTAGTAGACTAATATTGGAAACCTTCATTCAAAAAAAGAAGTGAAATAAAGTCAAGTAAAGTAGTAGTGACAGTGATAAATGATTATTTACAGACAGAAAGCTAAGACAATTATAAATATAAAGTTTGCATGCTACTAAATGTCTGAAGACATTCTGTCTGAAGCTTGGGCTGATGTCAGATAGGTTTCGTTTCATATCTGTGAAACAGAAAATGCCTGATAAGTTATTTGACCCCCTGCAGGGCGCTGATGAGTTTATGGGCCGTTGTGTTTGCCAACCATCAGTGGTGTCTTCCCCTCGCCTTGCCTGGTATCCCATCCAGAAAGCTGGGAAGCCTGCTGGACAACTGCTTGCTGCTTTCGAACTGATCCGCAGAGATAAAGTAAGAGTTATATGAATTATCATCCTCATAGACATTATATCACTTGTGATATTGTAACTGGCATCTGTGGCCTTAATTAATTTTCCAATTTTCAGTCTCCATGTGAATGACACATGCCATAATTAAGGCTATGAAAGTAATTAAGATCACCTCAGTGATGATTCTGTAGGATTCTTTGCGTCTTTTAGTCACATCTAGCCCAACTGTTGTCTGCAGCATCTCTGTTGAAAGAAATGCTTTTGTTATGAGTTTAACCCACAAGTGTTTACATGGCACATATCACAAGTTTAGTGGCTCCTTCACCCACGCAGTTGTATTTGTATGCATAGCGCCTGACAACATATGATTTAAAATGCAAAACCGCTCTCAGTTTTTACAGTACGAAATAATTTAGTCGTTGCTCTTCATTCTTTCTTCACAGCCTGCAGTTCATCACATCCCCGGTCAAGAGGTTAGTCATATGTTTTAAGTTGCCCATCTTTTTTCCCCTTTTTTCGTTTGCTTTCTTTAAAAAATGCACAGACACACACTTCCTGTCCTCCAAGTCATCGTCACTCCCTGTTCTCTCAGTCAAGCATGACTGAGTAATTGGATAGAGCTGCTGTAAATGACATAAACATCACTGTATCTGAATCAGTTTCACTAGCCCTGTCTGGGCAATGCAGACAGCCAGGAGAATGATTGGAGATGCCAGTGGAGTTTAAAAGTGCCAGAGGCCCCACCCAGTCCAGACCTGTCCAGCTGGCATCAGTTAGAGTGGGATAATCACAGGGAAATTGAATTAAAGTGAACCCTTAGAGAACAGTCAAACCACCCACCCACGCACACACACAAACAAATGCCCGCACTGTAACACTTTATTTATTTGATTTTAAAAATCTTTTTTTTTCTGCAGGGTGATATTATTCCACCCTCACATATCATGGATGAGGTAAGTGCTGGTGGAGGATTCTGTGAATAGACAATGGATCTTATTTGCTGTTGTTCCAGAGCATCTCTTTCCTGTTCTCTCGTTCATTTTTCCCTCTCTGTTTATTTTGGGCATCTTCAAGCTTGTGCTTCCAGGGTTCCTCTCTGACAATCAACAGCAATGGGTACAATTCAGCATGCATGCACATACACAAGCACATTTCACTGTATTTAGTTGATTAAACACAATGAAAAAAAAACACAGGACATGTGGTTCCACCATGTTAAACCAGAGCTAATGATTAAGTCATTCAGACATTTATAGCGGCCTATAATGTGAAAGATATTGAGCTGGAACCAGTATAGTTAAAGCTCCAACATGTCATTCCCACTGGTTTTCATTAGGCTGTGGGTATGGAGTGTTGAGATCTAGACATTTGTTTTATCGCTGGTGGGTAGATTCCTCCAGAACTCTGTGTACTTCTACGCACCTCCTTGATTTTTATGAGGCCTGCCAAGGACAAGATCTTGTGGGAGACGGCTTGGAAATTAAGAGGCCTTTCTGATCCGGCTGTATTCCCAGCTCTCCTATCTACTGGATTCCGCTTCATCTGCACAAAGATTTGTATTGTTCTGCAGTGGCATTTCAAAAAGACACAGTGATAGACTAATGGTGGAACTAACATGCTGCTATTAGACTGCATAATAGCTGCTCTTCAAACACACTAGGGACGTAAACATTTGCAAGTCGCCAATAGTAAAGGAAAACATTGGCAATGCATGGTTCACCGTCTTGCACTTTCCCTTTTACTCTGTATTCCACATTACTGTCTTTGTTTTGCTGGAAATAACAGCATGATATCATTAAGATCTAGGGATGCACTGATATTAAATGACCAATAATACAATAATATTATATAGTATTATAAAATAATAAAACAGAATATTTGGCAATATTATGGACTTAAATGCACAGACACTATTGGATGAGAACTGAAGTGGGCTGGATGATGACATCACTTTTTACTCTAGAATTCCTTTATAAACCATTTGAACTTATTCCCTAATTGATAAACTTTACACAGTTATTAAACTCAACTGAATCAACAATGAACTGGCATTAACTGAAATTTATACATCTGTAATTTATACATCTGTATTGTATAAAGTGTTATATAAATAAAGGTGACTTGACTTTAATAAAATTCTGTACTATTTTGACTAAAATTAAAAGCCAAACATTTAAAAATTTAAATGCTACAAGTGATTTTAGGCATCAAAGCATTATAATGTACATTATGAAAAAAGAATATTCACTGTAAATATACAATTTGGAAAATTTTACAATTAACAGTGTTATTAAATTATTAGAAATTAACCTTAAGTGAGTGTTAGATGACAGCACATGTAATCTAAAAAATACACTGTACAAGTAAGTTCAATTGAAATGACATTAAACTGACTAAAAAAATTGAGTTATATAACTTAAAAAATAAAGTTACAATTGGTTGGATTAATTTGATTTTAGTTAAAACATTGGAAAAACATATGTTCCCATTACTTATTGGTCATATAATTGTTACAGTGGGAAAATAGGAGAAATGTGGTACTAATTTGCCAATATTATTATTATTATTTTTTTTTATTCCCAAAACAGAAGAGAATAGTGCTAGCAGCACCAGGGTCATATAGGTTTGATTCCTGGGGAATACATAAACTGATTAATTATATAACTTGAATGCAGTGTACAGTAAGAAGCTTTGGATAAAAGTATTTGCCAAATGCATATATGTAAATGTAAATGCAATATATATAGGATCTGATTAATTCTCTTTGACCTTTGAATACAGTGGCCTTTCCAAAATTATTTGTTTGTATCTAAAGACTTGAGCATGTTGAGTACTGAGTTTGTATAATTGTCGGGAAATGTTCTCATTTATCAAGTAGATTAGCCATGCTTCCTTGAAGGTGTGTCTGTTTTAATGACGTTCTTTCAAATCCTTGCCTTAACTTAATGAAGGTAGTCATTACATAGTCTAATTCTCCATGACTGAAGCGTATCTCCGAAGGTCCCTTTGCACAGAGCACCATTGTATTCAACAGTAGTACCATTCATCAAACAATTGCACTGGCACAACACAGTCCTGGCTAATCCTTATATGTGTGTGTGTGTTGCGGCTTGATTGCTAACTTTGATTGGCATGTGAAGTCATGATGTTTGACTTTTTGTAGCTGCTATTAGTAACCAATTCCTTGTTTGTTTTCACACCCATTTTCGAATTTGGGTGCGTCATGCAAATGTACTTATAGAGAAGAATGGAAACATAGTGCTTGTGAAGCTGAGTTCTCTAAATGTACTACATGTCTCCTTCAATTTTGTGAAGATAGCATTTTGCATGGTTTTTGAAACTATGAATGCATTTTCAGCCATCTTTGCTTGCTTATTGTATATAGTTAAATAGAGAATATCCATATCAATGTTATTTTACGTACTTTTATACTTTTTAATAATATTTGAATTAGCTTTTATTTTTGTATTTTCAGTTTTCATTTTAGTTTTAGTTTTAGTTTACTTTTTTATAATTGTATGTGCTTTCGTTGTTGTTATAATGAATATTAATTTATTTTTATTTTATTTTTAGTTTTTATTTGCTTCTGGTTGAATACATTTTTGTTTATTTCCGGCAATTTTAGTGCTTTAACTTGCACTTATTTCAGTTGACCTATTTCAAATGTCAAGGCAACATTTAAAAGTTTTTATCTAATATTTATATTTTATTTTCTTTCAGCTTTTTCTAAAATTAACAAAATTATTTTTTATAGCTTTAGTTGTATTTAACAATAATGAGCCTGATCCTTATTAAGTTATATTTACTCATATTATGCTTTGCTCTTCATTCTTAGCCAGAGGACTCTGATTTGCCATATCCACCTCCACAAAGGGAACCTAATGTCTACATGGTGCCGCAGGGGATAAAACCTGTCCTACAACGCACAGCTATTGAGGTGGGCCCAAAACCTTTCCTCGGGTTATCCATTTATAGTTTAAAGCTTCTAGTGCAGTATAGACTACTTGAACCTTACGAAAAGCACTGACATCGCTTTTTTACCATTCATTTTACATGGCTGTTTTACCATTCATGATTACTTCAGGACATGCGACTTAACCTTTTAACCTTTTAACTCTTAGATACTGGCGTGGGGTTTGCGTAACCTGAAGAGTTTCCAGCTGGCCAGTGTGACATCTCCCAGTCTTCAGGTGGAATGTGGAGGAAGTGTGGTTCAGTCGTGCGTCATTCGAAATACTAAGAAGAACCCCAACTTTGAAGTCAACACCCTGTTCATTGATGTCGTAAGCTCTGGATCTTGTTTTGTTTGTTTTTATGTACATAATTTTGTTCAAAATTAGGTCAAGTAGGGTAAGATTAGATACAATTATGTAAGATTTAAAGGAATAGTTCACCCAAAAATGAAAATTTGATGAACATTTACTCACCCTCAGACCATCCAAGAATGTAGATGAGTTTTTTTGTTTTAATTTAGCATTACATCACTTGCTCATCAGTGGATCCTCTGCAGTGAATGGGTGCCGTCAGAATGAGAGTCCAAACAGCTGATAAAAGCATCACAATAATCCACAAGTAATGCACAAGACTCCAGTCCGGCAATTAATGTCTTGTGAAGTGAAAGGCTGCACGATTGTGAAAAACAACTCCATCATTTAGGTGTTTTAACTTTAAATCATCACTTCTGGACAAAATGGCAGTTAATTTAATCCATATTAATGCTTTCTTTAGTGAAAAAAAATAATTTCCTGTTGTCCCCTCATATCAATATCCACCGACATGTTTGTCTAGAACTGTTTTTGCTTGTAAAGAGTACTTGGTCTTTTCATATTTCTTTCCTGATTCAGAAGAGATGACCTTTTCATTGTAGAAAACAATATTCTGATCAGAGGACGGCTAGATGATCTTTAGCTGGAAACAATGTTTGAAGTTAAAAACATCTTAATGATGGGTTTGTTTATTATAAACATGCAGCCTGTGGATTACTTACATTACTTGTAGGTTATTGTGATGTTTTTATCAGCTGTTTGGACTCTTATTCTGACGGCACCCATTCACTGTAGAGGATCCACTGGTGAGAAAGTGATGCAATACCAGATTTATCCAAATCTGTTCTGATGAAGAAACAAATTCATCTACATCTTGGATGACTTGATGGTGAATAAATTGTTAGCAAATTCTCATTTTTGGTTAAACTTTTCATTGAACTTTTATGGGCATTCATCAAGGCAAAAATAACGCATCTATTGTAACTATCAAAGGTTAATAAATACAGTTGACCTTGGCTGAGCCCTCTTCAGATTTCTTGTAGATTCTTTATGTAGAAATCCAGTTAAGATATCAAATTTTGTGTTACAGCATGCTGCTAACCAGTTGAGACAGACTTATATACAATGTGGTCACGGTGTCCTTCACATGGTGGATGTTTCACGAGTGATGACTGGCACAGTAAAAATGTTCCCTAGCAATGAGCGTCAGTTCTTAATTCTAAAACGTAAGATAGTCTGGATTCCGTTCCAATACTCATCTAAGGCTGGAAGGCATCGCATGGAAAGAATGCTGAATGACTAGCAAAGTTATTTGCACTGTCAGTCGTGGTCAGCCCTGTGTCATGTTTGCCTCAGTTTAGGGTGTGAAATACTTTCACAGAGTATGAGAGGAGAGAGGAAGGTTCTGTGGAATAACAACTGAAATGGAGAAATAAACAAGACATTATAAGTTAAAGGTTTGGAAGCCTTGCATCTCTTTATGTTCATATCTTTGTTATTCGTAATCTCTTCTCCACTGTAGCGACTGCCCAAGGAAGAGCTCTACATGCCTCCATTGGTGATCAAGGTTATAGACAACCGTCAGTTTGGCAGGAAGCCTGTAGTGGGCCAGTGCACAGTCCACTCGCTGAATGAGTTCTGCTGGCAGCCAGAGAGCCTCGACAGAGACCCTACTGAAGAAGAATTTGGTGAGGAAATAAGGGAATGACTAAATACCTTTTAAACCGCACATCAAAGTATATTAACATATATATAAAGTATATATTATATATAAACACTACAGATACACTGACAAGAATTGGCTTTGAAACAGTTTTCCCTTAGAAATTACTAGTCAATTTCATAAATATTTACAAAGCAACTGCAAGTAACAATGAAGTAAATCTGAAATTTTAAGTAGAAAGACTAAAATATTAGTAAAGTATGAATCGTCCCTAGTATGTACTAAAATGTATTTGAAATACATTTATTTCATGCTAAGTATACTAAAAATACATTTATTTATGTACTCAATAAAAATACCCTCCAATTGTACTTTTAAAAGTCTGCTGAATTGGAACAATTTTGTACATAACGCACTTTAATTGTGAGGAAGTAGTGCTGAAGTCCAAATAAAGATATCCTGAAGTATATTTGAGTGTGCTAAAGTGGAATTACTGCAAGTATACTTCAGGTATACTTTAAATATCTTGCATTTAAAGACTGATAGTATTCAAAGATCATGCAGTCATCATCAATAATGACATCAAAACACATTTTAGGCTAAATATTAAGAAATGTGCATTGTGAACAAGTAGTACTCCAAATAAAGTTTAATTATAATTTTTATATCAGTCAGTCTCGAGCGATGTATCAGTAAATAATAGATTTGAACTATACTTAGTATGAAATAAATGTATCTTAAATGTATTACTTTTTACTATGGTTAATCTTAGTAAAATACTAATCTTTTGTTTACAACATCAAAAAATATTTTTTACAATTTATGTTGGAAAATGTGTGTGGGTTATCCCTAGGGAAAGAAGGAAAGACAGGAAGAAAAAAGGATTTTGGAGAAAAGTACATTTATTTCAAGCTTTTTTAGGGTATATAAAGTATACCCAAAATATAGTAACCTGCTCTAATTTAGAACAGTTCTGTTATTCAATAAAAAATGGCAAGAATCAAATTATTTTCTTGGCGTTTAGTTCTATTAATAGTTCAGTTCTATTAAAAGTGCATTCTTTGACAAGGTGGATGAACATTATACTTTATGCTTACAGTATTTATGGTATATTTCCATCAACAGAGGCAATTGCTCACACCCCTAGAGATGACGTTCTGGTTGATATTGATGATAAGGAGCCTCTCATTCCTGGACAGGTATGATCAGTCTTTTCACCTGCAACTTATAAATCGTTTCTTAGCTGATTGACAAGGTGTGTTATATCCAGATCTCTTCTGAAACTTCCTCAAAAATGCTCTTTGGAAAACTTGCTTTTGCAGTCATTCTCAAAATGAGGGGTCCTCAAAAAACTGTGAAAAAATTATATTTGAAAAATGATGAAAGTGTGATTTCTAGACCTGGAAAAGTAATTTAAATTAATAAAACAATAAAATAAAACATAAAAAACTAAATAAAAAAATGAAATGTAAAAAAAATGTAAATATTAATAAAATGTGAGTATAAAAAAATCTTTATCTTTAAAATCCAGTAAATCACAAACAACTGTAAAAGTCATGGGGCCTTTAAATATTGTTGTGGACAATGGAGTCAAAAAGCTGAGAACTGCTGCTTTATAGCTTTGAATACACGCTCTTTTTTTGTTGTCTGTGTTGATGTTAGTCCTCTTGGCTGCTATTCAGTAGGTAGTTGGTCAAATAGCTTGGGTTTCTCCAGGTTTCTTTAGAGCCTTGTTAGAGAATGAGGTATGCTGTCATGGCAAGGTTAAGCACTTCTGAGCATACACACCACTTTATAAGGTCTTCTAGGGGTAGTTTTCTCCATGCATTTATTGGTGGAATTTAAGTGTGATTCTAGTTGTGAAACATGGCAATCACATCCTGTCCGTTATGTCTGGGTTACAGCATTGCCTCAGAGGGACACAGGGTCTGTGACATTAAGAAAGCATTGCTTTGTAGACGGTGACTAGAGGAAGGTTGCTTCTTGAAGGATTGAGAGACAATGGGTATCATAGTATCGACTTGAGTTCAGTTGGGTATTAGCAGAAATGCTGAAAAAAAAAGATCTATTACTTAAATTTAGGCTGTGCTTTCAAGATGAGATGTAAGATTTTGGCCAAACTAGCCTTGTGATGTTGCTATGGTGCCATGTTAGTCAACTTACGGCATAATTGGGGGTGGGTGTCTGATGAAATCATGAATTCAGTAACATGATGGAATACTTTTTGGCGCTTGCATGTATGATGAAGGCTCACACCATCTTGAGACAATGACACGCTTCGCTTTCTGAGAAAAGAGAGGCCAGCTTTAATGACGCCTCCTCGAGCTGTCATCAATTCCCTCTCATAACTACGACCTAAAAATACTCCCCAAAAATAAATAAAAACAAAATAAAAAATGATCAAGGGGGATTAGGAAAATTGAAAAATTGTTTCCATGTCTTAGCTTTAACCTTTCAGCCTTTATTTGTTCAGTCACTGGAAGAAAACGAGACTAGAATATCGGATTCGGGACCGCATGGCCCACTTGGTTTCCTTGGAAATGGATCATAGTCACAAAAGCCAGTTTATTTAGGTTTTCGACCTTCCAGCCCGGCTGGCAGTGCTTCCCTGTGGATGTGAGGTGTTCTGTCGTTTGCAGAGTGGAAAGAGGATTACTTCACGCATGCCCTTTTGAGCTGGGTTTTATAAGCCCACGCCCAGCTCTAGTTAAGGGCCATTAATGGGGCTCTTTTCTTCTGCACTTGCCACCTTTTCCGTTGATCTAATCTGGGAGCAAGATTCGGTTTCGTTGTATTCCACAGTATGTGACACGGTCAACTTACATTCATCTATTAGTAACCCAACGATGATCCTGAAATGTCACGTAACACAGTGCCCACTGGCCTGGACGTCAGTCCAAACGCTCAAAGCCATTTAGACGGCATCAATGGGCACACCATTTGTGGTTTGACTGAAATCAGTTGAATGTAACCGCATGTTTGACTCTGAAAATGTATTGCTGAATACACAGTAAACATCCCCTCCAGTTCTGCTCCTGATTTCAGATGTCTGGTGACCACGGCACTATGGGCTTTGTTTATAAATGTGCATTTGTGTGAGGACTGCCATCAAATGGCTCGTTCTGGCTAACAAATAAAAGAGGGACCACAACCACAGTCATCTGTGGTGGAATCCCCAGTGACCCTCATTTTGTCTATCAGAAATGTTTGATGGAATATAGGAAGTGAAGGAACTGTGGGAAAAGGGTATGTCAGTTGTTCGTTTTTTTGTGAAGAAGGGCTTTTGTTGCACGGTTTGCATGCTCATCACATTTTGTTTTTGCTTGAGGGTGTAGTTGCTTTTCTTTTGCACATGCAGAACATGCACTTGATTTGCAGTTTTGACAGCTCATCTACATTTCACTGTAAGTTTTCTGTTTTATACCATTGTAGCATTCATTGACAACATCTCAGGTAGTTTTGATGTACAGTAGCAAGGTCATTAGTACTGGTCAGCTGCACTGGATCAGAATAAAGTTTCTGTGGTCTATCGCACTAGAAGCAACAGGAGTTTGATCCCCGGCCCACAATCCCGCATGATTTCTAGCATTCCAGTGGGAGCCTGAGGCTGCTGTGATCCACTCAGGAAACCAGTAAAAGCAAAGAAAGCGAAAGAGGAAAATTTGGATCCTGATGGCAGTAAAAGGTCCAATTCTTGCTCTGTAAGTGTAACGAATCATCCACTGAAGGCGAGTGTAG